GGAGACCACCAGAAATTGTCACCACTCAGCCACTGTCACAGATGCCAGAGCTGGATGTTTGTGGCCCTGTAGGGCTGGACTCCCACTACACTCACCTTTGGGTTCTGCAGCCACATCTCCAGCCTCTGGACAGCCATGAGCCGCACCTCCTTGTATCCACAGGTCGCAGTTAGCAGGCGAAGGAGGTTCCTGGACACATTATCCATGGGCTGGCGCCGGTTGAGCTGGTCACGCAGCATGTCTAAGACATACTCTTCCACGCTCTCTGCCAAATCCTCGTACCTGAGCCAGGACAGACCAGTCTTGCTGACTCCCACCTCCCAACCCTCTGCCAATGCACCTGTCATGCCTCACCAAACCCTGCAGACAGGGGCTCTTACTGTAAGCAGCATGGATGTCTGGCTCTACAGGAGTCAGTCCAGGCCATGCTGAAGTTACTGAGCAGTGCTGTGGGCAGACTAGCTCTGGCTGAAGGCAGAAAGCATCACTGCTGTGATGGGGAAGAAGCAAGCACTGTACCTGGGCATAAGCTGTCCCTCCTGCTCTGGGCTCATCTTCTCCTCTGCAATCAGTAGCTCACTCTGGCTGTCCTCCTCCTCTGGCATGGAGGGGTGGGGGCTACTCCCTGCAGATGGGCCAACACATGCTGTCACTACCTGGCAGAGCATCTCCTAGGCTGATACTGCTTCCACAGATCCAGTGCTGGGGATGCCCCACCCCACCCCAACTCCACTGCCTCTGCCTTCCCCAAGAGCCCTCTGACCAGCACCAAGAGACATTCCTCCAGGGCTCATCCATCACTTGGTTTCTTTCTCCATGTTCCTCCAGTGCTTTACACTATCTGGAGAAACCACCAATCCCCTCCTTTACCTGCCTTCTGCCAACCCCTCTGGTTCTGTCGTCTCTCAGGGAAAAGGTGCACCGAACGGGACAGGCCAGCAGGCCCCCAGTCTGGATAAGGCCTTGCCCAGATCCCCTCCAGCTTGTCCCTAGACCTCTCAGGGTCCACCCCCTCCACCAAGTTCCTTCAATCGTGCTGCCCAGGTGCCCCCTCACCAGCGCTGAGGTCACCTCCGCTGCGCCCCACCTCCCCATGCAGCAGCATGCTTTTTGGGGGCATCTTGGTGTTGAACGCTGTCTGGATATTCTCCACGAAGGTCTTGCAGTGAGGGCTGTCCACCCAGATGCGCTCCCCCAATGAGTCCTCAATGTACACCTGCCAGAGGGTGAGAAGCCCAGAACGTGAGTGCGCCGAGATCAGTCTGAGGACTGGGCAGGGCCCAACCGCAGCACAACCAGAGTACTTTACAACCCAGGACACGTTCACCCTCACAGACGTGCCATAGGGCAGGAAAGGGTTGTCCCCACTGCACAGAGACAGACAACCGTCAGCAAGTCACTGAAAGGCTGTGGAAAAGCAGAACCTGAACTCGTTGGACTAGTGCCTGGCCAGCAGACTGACCAGAGTCTCCGCTCTCTGAAGGAAGCCATATCAAAAGGTTTAAGGCACCTACAGCCCCCAACCCAGGGGACTGGATCCTTGGGCTCGAGCAATGCAAGCTCTTGATTGTAATCCCATTGCCAATGACAGCCAATCCAGGAACATTTTACCCCAAACCACACAACGGAGGAGAAATGGGGGTGAAGACGAGTGAGGGTAAAAGGACAGCTGGAGGCAGCAGCATTTCAGCTCTTAACGCTCCAGGGTGGCAAACGTTCCTCTGAGAAACAGACATCGTGTCCCCCTACCTCTGAACTCAGCCAGAGGCCTCGATGCACACCCGTCCCTTCTTCATACGGCCGCCTCCCCATCTCCCTGCGGCAGCGGCCTGCTCTCCCTCCACCAGCTACAGCCCACGCCAGGCACCGCGCTGCCCACGCCAGGAGCAGCAAGGAAGCCCCACGCACGGGGCGACAACCAGCAGGACGGCCCTCGGCCCACCCGACTCCCACGTGCCTTGACAAAGATCTCCGGCCAGTTCTCATCCTCCTCGTAAGCCGCCATGAGAAGGTTACAAGCCAAGACCGACACCAGGCTGTTCCCTTTCGCTTTGAAGTTGATGGAGGCGTCTCTCCGGAGAAGGCTGCACAGCGCCTGAGAGACAGGATGCGTTAAAGAGTTGCAGCCTCCGGGGAAACAAGACGACGGCTGGGAAAGGGGCGAGAGGAGGAAGCCCACGCAGCTCGAGCCACGAAGGCACCCGAGCAAATCCCACCACTCGCGTGGGCTGGCAGCACCAATCTCGCTCCCATGCGGTGTCCCCCTCTCGCAGGCTCGCAGCTCCTCACCTCGATGACGCCCTCGGTGGCAAATATGTTGGGCTTGATCTTGGCCAGGTACATGAGGCTCAGGTACAGGGTGGTGTCGGGCTTGGCCCTGTTCATCTTCAGCTGCTTCACAGCCCCGCACAGCACCCCCTCGATGCGGTCGTCGTTGCCCTCTGCCTCCGCCGCCTCGATCTCGTCCAGCAGGACCGTGGGGACAACTGCGGCGGCGAACGCGCGGGGTCAGGACGCGGCGAGGGGGACGCGAGCGCTTCCACCCGCCCCCCCCCTGCGCACC